TTTAGGGTTTAGGGTTTTTGGATTCACTGCCCCGATTGGAACTCTGAGATTCACGGCGGGCAGCTGATTCCAGTGCCCTTCTTGGAGATCTCCATGAGCCATTGGTACGGGCCGTCGACACTGCCTCCCTTGCAGGTTCCCACACCGCCGCAATTCAGCAGGTGCTGAACCTTGGGATCTTTATAAAAACGAGGATGAACGACATTGAACCCAGGACATACGATTCTTGGCAAAACAGCACGGATCGTAACTCGGATTCGATATCGGTTCTCTGCACTGGACCGCAGGATGTGATGATTATGTTGATGTTAAGTTGTGTCTTGGGCTGTCGTGAGGTTGCGTGGCGTGAGGTTGCATGGCATGGGGTTTCCTGAGGTTGCTGGCCCTTGCGTTTTCATGAGATGGCCTCTTATCTCCTGCTACAAACTGATGCCGCTTAACGCACGGGGCCGGGCTAGCGGTTATCGCAGTGCATCCCAAAATGGCGTTGCTCATGTGGTGCCGACATAATTTGTTTGTCCTCAGATTGGGCAGCTCTCTCCTGATGCCGGCGTGTGTGATCAGGCGGCATGGAACTGCTTGGGCGGTGACATGACTTGTCCTGTGCTGCATTGGCCCGGTGTTGATCTCGACATGACAACCCTTTTCTCGACATCTCCACACGAGTCGGTAAAGTGGATGCGGCGCAGCCGAATCGCGATCCGTTGATATCTGTTGCAACTTCCAACAACTATTTCGATGATGGCGGCGTGTCTGCATCGTCAGGTCAGTGCGATTCAAAGTAAATTCCTATACATTGGCCTCACACTTGTCTCGAAATGACAACTCTCTCGGTGACGTCAGCATCTCCAAGCGCCATTTCGGCACAGAGATCTGTGATCCTGCCAGTATTTAGAGGAAACCGGCACGTCACTGACATCGTGTCTGTGAATACCGCCAGTACATGGTTGAAGCATGTTGGTTATGTTTCTGGTAGAGAAGTTTAAACAAGTTTTTGGTTCATGGGAGGATGTATAGAAGGGTGTATGCAGAAGCTTATATTATAAGCAAGAGAAGTAGGATGGGTTCGAAACGCTTCTATGGAAGGCTTAGGAAGGGTGTCCAGTCGAGCAGCTGCGCGGATGGGAGGATGGACGGACGGATGGACGGATGGACGGATGGACGGATGGACGGATGGACGGAAGGATGGATGGATGGATGGATGGATGATGTTTAGGCCTAGGCTTGCCTGCTACGCTAAACGCTTTCGGGACACTTGTTCGCTAGCTTTACTTGTGGCTTCTCTGAGCATAGTTGTTCAGGGTACCAGTCTTCTTACACTGAGACCAGAATTCCACGAAATATTCCAACAACTTGGAGTGATGCAACTGAGCTGCGGCGAGGTTGATGTCAATTCCTTGCGCGTTGCGCGCGATTTTGATGCGGTCGCCAAGAGCCGAGATCGCTCCATGTGCCCAGCAGGAGCCACAGTACTCGCCAAAGGGCAGGAAATTCAATCAATTTCACTAGCTGTGCACAGTCGGTCCTGCGGAATATGCTGATTCCGAGACATAGTGCAGTAGCTCCTGGAGGTCACGGCATGTGCTGCCCTTGCAGTTTCCCGGCATCTCTCAGTCCAAGGCTTGCCATCTTTGTTGCACCAGCTGAAATCCGAGGGGTACTCGGCTGCCTCAAGCAGCGCGTGGGAGCCTCAGCCGGGGCGGCCACCGGTGGGATTTCTGACCGAGTAGAAGCTCTTCTTTACCTTGGCCCAGAGCTTTGATGTGTCGCGTTGCCACGCCACGTAACGCCCAGCTTCTCCACCTCCGACACAGAGCCGGAACAAGCCTGTGCAAGTCACCGGATGTCCTGCCTCGGCACGTGGAAGCAACTCGGAGCGATGGCGGCGTCCCGAGGCGGCGCAAGTGAACACCGCCGGGGGAAGCTTTGCGGCCTTGACTGTGCCAGAAGCCCCATCCTGACTAGAAGTAGAACTGGGTTCCAAGCATTCTCCTTGGTGTAGCATGCACTCGGAACTGCCGATGCCTGTTGTGCGATGAAGCAACACTGGGTGAAAGGTGTGGCGAAACGGAAGATTTCTTGCGACATAACACCAAACAGTGGCAGGGCTGTCAGCACCACCTCGCACCACGTGCACTTGGCATCAGCATCGCAGTCTGCCTTGGCCTCACACACTGCTTCGGCAGCCTGCTTGCAAAATAAACGACACAAGACACCTGGCCTTGTGCGATGAATGGCACGCATCATCCTGAGCTGCTGCAACGCCGAAGCCCAGAACCGCGACGGCCTTGAAGAACTTCATCCTGCAAAAGCTACACGTCTGAAACTACTTGGATACTGCTGCGAAGGCAAAGCAATCATGTCCTGGTTACTTCGAAGCGCTAAGGCAGAAGCTGCTAGATTTGAGCCCGAATTGCTGATGCATGCAACACAAAGCTAAGCGTTTGGGCAATGAACAAGTTCGATGAGACATCAGGAAGTTTGCACCTGCCTCGTTAAAGAAGGTTTTGGCAGACTCCCGGATAGACACCACTTGATCGCTTGCCAGACCCAGAGGCACCTGAACAAGCGCTCAACTTGGGCATGCCCATGCCAAACACGCATTGATCTTGCCGAATCCATTTCCTCACCAGCACAGCAAGCGTAACCGAACCCGCAGTGATAGCTTGTCCTGACAACCAGGCTACCGACTAGCGCCCCAATCATCAAGACCAGGACCATCATCATCATCGTCATCACCACCCATGGCAAATATAGGTGTTGTGGAGCAGCCCGCTTGGCTGCCAACTATCAGCAGGCGTGACAAGGGCCTAAGGGCTCAAGACTGCCTTCTGGGGCTTCCATCCCTGCGCTTCGCCGCCATCAGGCTTTGAAGGTCTTCGCAGCGATTTGCAGCTTCATCCGACAGAGCGACACCTCTGGATGATACTTCTTACCATCGTGCGGATAGCAAGCCCCGTTCTCGTCGAAAAACCCACACGCACGCGACATCTTTGTCCGAGACAAATGTATGCGCAATAGCTTCGCAAAGGGCCCCCGACACCCCCTTCAGTGCAATTCACAGATACCCTGTTCCGAGCTGGTTTGCATTCATACGGACGGAGGCTACGGTAAAACAAAAACGAAAGCGTAACCCCGAAGCCCGGAAACTCTGGGCACGACTGGAGTGTGCGGCAACAGGTTTGCATAGGGCCACCTCCTCAATGAGGAAGGTGCCGCACAACCGTGCTCAAAAAGATAAAACGGAATCCCTTAACACTACCGTCCCGGAGCGCTCTTATCATGACTACACTTCCAACGTCTTCGTCGCTATCACCTTTGCTTTACCAATGCAAGAACAGGATCATCGTGGGCATCATTCTCGTCGCAATCTTCAAATCCGCTGTTGCCACGAGATGCTGTCAGTAGTTGTCAATGCTATTATTACTATTATTATGAACATAGTCCTCATGTGAAACATCGCTGTCACCGGAAACATCAGCATCAGCATAATCGTCACCAACACCATCCTCACAATCACCATCATCATCATGGTAGTCATCACCGTTGTCAGCATGTCTACGAACCATATACGCTGCAGTGCATCAGGTGACCACGAGGTTGCGGATGCAGAACGGTTGCAACAGCGGCAGAATCAGCAACCACAGCAGCACCAACGGGTTTCACCCACAAATAGAATGCCTCCCTTGAGCTGCGCACTGGCTTAGAGCTCAATCGTCGCAGTGCCAATCGCAGAGCCATGCCTCAGAACAAGAACGGAATTGCCACACACACACACACACGGACACAGCTTCGATGCAACCTCTCGCACAACTGTCGTCACCGGGCCTGAAGCTCTGGAAGCTTCTGCCTGCTTGAAGGCGCCGCAAATCCCTATGATGCTCTGGACCAACAGTGGTTGAGCCAAATGTTCCATTCGCACAACCCATCGCAAGTGCTGGCTAACTAGCGACCTGCTGCACTGCCGAAGCCTGGCCAGTACATGTAGTCGAGCTTCATCTAAAGCAAGAGCTGGACGAAAACTCATTCGCTGCAGTCTCTTCACAATGTCGGATCGATTGCCTACATGATTGAACACCGAACTACACGGAGCCGGCACAAACAACACAGGCAATTACTTTTACAACTAGCTGAACACTGTCATCAAACAGCGCAGCAGAAGAGTCTTGAATCATGAATCGTGACAACCATTGCACTTCGGGAAGAAGCTGGACTGTGACGTTGTCCAGCTCATTCGTCCTTTTTTTGTGCACCCACGAGAATGATCCGGAGTTGATTAGCGTGCCAGATCTTTGTTGTCGAACTTTGCGTGTCTACTCCATGGCAATTCGCAGGTGTGGGATCCGTCGTGCCCGATTAGCATATGTTCAAGCTGCTTACATGTGTGTTAAAACATGGCTCGAACTCCCGAGCTGACACCCAGTTGCCATGGCAAGGAAAAGAAAAGCCAAAGGGCCCAGAAACTAAGTTTTACAAAACAGGTTTGATCCTCAACTCTACGAGTTGCACTTTAGGAGAAAAAATACGCCAAGAAGAAGGAACGATGGCGAGCCAGGGATCAATGAATCCCCCAAGCAGGGCAATTTGCCGCGCTGGTTCAAAGATTACAGAATGCTACGGAAGTTGCGAGAGTGGAAGTAACACAGCAACAAACCACCTACATGGCGTTGAAGCATGGACCGGCTGATCAGCAGAATGCCTAGTTATGAAACAGTGGCAGCAAAAGAGTCAGGCTTTGATACGAGCTGCAAGCTACGAGAGTCACCCGAAGTGGTCAGTCCCAATACGATATAACAGCATGTCCAGTGAATGACTGGGCATTCCAGCTTCCTAACTACGTGATGTTTGTGAACCAGCACGATGGAGAAGTCTTTCCGTATGCAAAAGAAAGGGAGACACCATTTGGTGACCTGGACTATGAGCGCCACACGAGTAAATGGACTGGAAAACGTGATGTTGTACTGAGAGAACGCAATGGGAACATTGTGAACCAAACTGTATTTCGAGTGCACAACTGCAACGAGTGCGATGAACGAGAAGTCCAAATCACTTGCACTGCCGTTCAATGTTGTACACCGAGAAGGTGGAGGCATTAAGTCTTTGAACATTGACTGGAACAGTTTGGGCAGAGCATATTTCCGAGGGGGGCCAACAACCCGAACCTCACGTTCAACAGTTCTGGTTCAATCTAACGTGAACCTCAAGTTGAGGTCGGGTTAAACCTGAACCCTAACCTTGCGTGCGTGTGGGTTCAGGATAGCCCCAACCTCCAACCGCAGGCAGGGTTGGGAAGAACACGAAATTGAATAAATGGAAATTTGACCCAGACTCAAAAGCACAACACGAGAAGTCAGTGAATTGCTTTACGCGTGGTAAAAGCGAAGAAAATGAATGCTCTACTGTAGGCTCCAAAAACAAACACAAAAGTCTTTTCCAACACGAAAGATGAAGAAACCACACACAATCAGGGCTTGCACATGGGGGATCCTGCTAGGGTGGGCTTAACCCGAACTCGTGAGTTAGAGTTGGGTCCCTCCCCGGTTGGGACCCATAGTTGGGGTTGGAGGTAACCCGAACCCTAAGCTCGGATACGTGGGTTAAGGTTAAGGTTGTCGTCAACCCGAGTCTAACCCGTGGCCCAAATTTAAGGTTGGAGTACGCCGAACCCTAACTACTACTACTACTACTAC